TTTACCGCGGCAGTCACCGAGTGCTACACGTATTTTTTTTATTTATCACTGGTTCGGAAAATACCTCTATCTTGGAAAGAACCAGCAAGAAACCCAGCGGATTTTTAAAATAAATTTCACTTTACAGTAATTTTGTACAATTTTTATCATTACCAGAAGTTATTTTTATTCATGTATCCTTTGATATTATAATAACCGTTTTTGTAAATTTTTTCTTTAATAAACCTTTAAACTTGTTTATTAACAAACTTTGAACATTAACAATAAACAATAAATCATTTGATTTGTAAAATCTTTAAAAGTATATTTGCATGAAAATATACAAGTTTCTAAAAACCTAATTTACACTATGGCCCAAGCTTACACTCTCCTCACCAAGCGGTCACAATGGCCGCGCGCAACAAGTGTGACGTCACGTCACGTAGCGCGTGCCACTCCTACAACAATCAACGACCACAGGGATCGATTCCAGCTCCACGTGTTTATGTTACTGTGTCTATCATCCTGTTTTCACTCGGACATCCCTTGAAATCGTTCTTAAAGCGGATTTAATTACAATTTGTAATTATTTGACCAGGTAGAGCATCTAAAAATAGGTTCGTCTTGAGTATAGATATGTTTATTTTTGGCTGCACCTATCATATTAACCTAACGTGATCAACGGGCACACAGTCCATTTGATGCTAATTGGATGCTGTGTCTTATGTACATCTACATCTATCCTCGAATAGGAATCAAATGCTGATGTGTTGTCACCCCTAAGGACTGAAATAGAATGCCTCGTATCAAGTAAAAAGGGTCTCCGGTTCTCTATACTCACCATATGAAACACAGCAGCATTAAGCTACTATTTCACGCTGGTATTCTGTGAGAGCGTGGTCCTTCCCCGGTCGAGCCGATCCATTCGTGCTGCAACTATACTTCTAATATAACTGCAGTATGGCCCTACTACGTACATACAATATGTGGATGTAATTAGAAACGATTCCGATAGTGGCGGTAAACCATCTCATTTACGCCAAGCGTAAAATACCCAAACTAGCGATGAATAGCAGCGTTAAAGATGCGACACGTCCAGTATTGGTATTGATATCCGGTTCTCTAAACTCACTATACGGCAACAGCAATATAAGCTGCAATTTCACGCTGATATTCTGTACGCGTATTGTGGCGGTATAAGAGTGTCCACTACCCCATATCTTCCCGTGGGTGTCGTAAGAGGCGACAGAGGGAGACAGGCAGGAGATGGGCAGCAGCATCTTCTTCATAACAATTCAAAACAATAAAAAAACTGTGGTTGACAACCCGCTCGCCAAGCGTGACAACTATGGCAAAACATGAGGCAATCTATGGAGGAGGCCTATGTTCAACAGTGGACTCTTATAGGCTGTGATGATAATGATGATAATGATTCTGTGAGAGTGTGTTCTTACCCATGCAGCGTGGCTCTAATACGTAAATACGAAATACTTATTTTAGTTAAAGTAAAAGTAAAGTAAAGTTACAGCCTATATACATCCCACTGCTGGGCACAGGCCTACCCTCATTTCTGAGAGGGTTTTAAGGCAAGGAAGTGTCCGCCGCGCTGCCCCAATGCGTGTTAGCAAACTTCACATGTCTTCGAAATATTTTATTCTTATTCCTCAGACATTCAGGTTTACTCGCGATGTTTTCCTTCACCGCCGAGCACGTGGTAAATCAGCACTTAAAATTGCAATTAACAATTTCATTGGTGCCGGCGGGGATCGAACCCGGGTTACTCGCGTTCTGTTATATTTACAGCAAGCGTTAACCATCTGAGCTACCACGGCTCTTTTAGTTACTTTAATGTTAATTTTCTTACCATTTAACTAAATATATACATTTCTTAGAACTTTGTAAGTTGCTTGTCTGCAAAAATAAACCAGCGTATCTAAAAGAATGATGCGCTTCTGGTAATTTTGGATCACGGCAACAACTTTTAATTTATCGGACGCTGTCAATTACCCCTTATAGTGTAGCAAAGTATACGAATAAGGGTTGTAATATCTCTTACACGTCTGCAGTGCTTGAGTGAGATTGATAGGCGAGTTTGAAATTAAGGAAAGAAGTTTCTGCATGCGACATACCCTGTTTTCTTTCTTAGAAATAAGAATGACCAGCGAGCACTACAACTCACCTAGAGGTAAGTGGATTCTAGTGGCACTTAGGACCTTTTATCTATCATTAGTTGAGCATCAAAATTCAGATGAGTCATCACACATCACCCTTGAGAACTAAGACGAAATGCCTCGTTATAAGGAAAAATGGACTCTAGTTCTCTACAATTAAATTAGAAACACAACATTATGTCGATTTTTTCAAGCATTATATTATACTGCTCTCCCTACCATTCTGCTAGCCTCACGGACAGAGCTAATGACGAAAAATCATGTTAAATTCGACAAAGTCATTTTACGATTTATTTTTTACAGTTCCTTGAAATAGTAAACACAACATGGTGAACCCAACGCTGTATTCTCTGAAACCGAATGTATATGTAATGTGCAAGTCCAATTTTGTCCGAGTTACTATTCGTCGACATCGCCTTGACCTCATTTTAACTGCGTTGTTTAGGGCGCTTTGATAAATCGCAAATATTATTGCAAAGCACCAGGATCGACTTACAAATAAAAACGATAGTTTTAATAGACATGTTGAAAAATATATGAAACATTTATTTCATCAGATTTCCACGCTATTAAAAGTAGACAGAAGAAAGACTAATATAATAATACTCTCTCTGACATATGAACACTTGGCTGGGCAGTGTATAGGAAATCATCCGTGAAATAAGATCTTATCGTACAAAATTTTTCAAGAGCGTGGATCTTTCCACGTCAAGCCAAGCTATTCGTGTATTTTACGCTGGTATTGTTTGTGAGCATGGACCTTTCCCAGTCGAGCTGACCTATTCGTGGTACAATTTACTCGTGCTGCAGCATGGCTCCACCACGTGTGAAACGCAGATGGCTCAAAACTGTGTTTTGTAGCTTTCCTTGGACAATGCAGGAATGACATTCGTATAGAATTCATCATCATACATTCGCATTCGTAGTCTACCGTGACTCATCGTGGTTATTATAAAAAACATCGAGATATTTTAAAACATTTGATAAATTTATTTCATGATTCTAGCCGAAACAAACCAAAATCAACGTCATTCTGAAATACAATCGCCACTTCTCATGATCACCGTGACGATTATAGTTAAATTGTCTAATGAAACTGACTTACCATCTCTCTAAAAGTGTATGTGGCTACCGTTAAACCGTTTAAAAGGTTAGCCATCTAACGCTCTGTCCCAGCGAAAATGTCCCACTGGAAGTTAACCAACAAAAACAGTGGGATATTCCGTTGGTACGGAGTGTCCAGAAAAATTTATTTCAAAATTTCTACAGTCAACAAGTTCAGGCTCGCCTTCTAGCTGTTTCGACTAAGGAATCTAGCCACTGGTTACATGCTCTACCATCAAGTAATCTCGGCACATTGCTTCATGGGGAAAGCTTGCGCATCGCCGTAGGAATCCGGCTAGGAGTGGCAATTTATCAACCTCACCAGTGCCCCTGTGGTAGTAGCGTCGATGAGTTTGGGCTCCACGGACTTTCATGCAAGAAAAGAGCAGGTAAGTTTTCCCGTCACCGTTCATTGAACGAAATCATCCGAAGGGCTCTTGTCTCCATAAACGTCCCCTCGGTTTTAGAGCCTTGCGGGATATTTAGAGACGATGGCAGGAGATCAGGCAGTATGACTTTGGTCCCTTGGGAAAGAGGTAAAGCCCTAGTGTGGGATGCTACTTGCGTTGACACTTTGGCGGCCTCTCATCTCAAGGATACCTCTTTTAGAGCCGGGGCGGCATCAGAGGCAGCCGAATTTAGTAAATAAAAAAGTCTTTGACAAATGACTACATATTTGTGCCATTTGCTGTAGAGACTATCGGTCCGTGGGGTCCGCGTGCGGTGAATTTTCTAAAGGAAATGTATCCACGACTGGTCGTCGCTGCTGTTCATAAGAGGGCTGGTTCTTTCCTCGCTCAAAGGCTAAATATAGCTATTCAGCGAAAAAACGCAGCCAGCGTTCTTGGCACTATACCACGGGGAGCAGGTCTTTTTGACTATTTAAATTTTTAGTTTTAGATTTTCTATATAATAGTTTCTTCTTTTATATTGTATATAATTAGTTTTAATCGTAAATATTATAATTTTAATTATTATTTTAGTTAAGTTCATTATTATAATTTTTGTAATATATATACAAGTAATATGGGACTAATTATAAATATAAACGAATACTATTAATTAGTGTTTGTTTTATATTGTTCCGCAAAATAATATAAAACAAACACTAATTTTGATCCTTTCAGAGTTGCGAAGTAGAAGGAAACGTAGGACAAATATTGACGAGCTTTTGGGTGAGGGACGCCCACCAGTTAATTAACGTTTTTATGTCGCTTGTTGGCCGTCAGCGAATGATATCGATTAGAAATATTCATGATATACCTAAACGGGTGCATATTTGTCATGTTTACTGTCTGCGACTCATAGAGGCACTCATTCTAGAATATTTGAAAAGGCTAAATTTATGCCAATATACTAGATATATACCAATATATACTATATGACGATCTTTATAAAATGTAAACGTAAACTTTATCAATAGACTGCATCGCCATTTATCATCATCATGATATCGAAGTCAAGCAAAGTACTGTAAAAACCTACAACTGCGACTGCAGAGCATTGGCTTTCTTTCATTTCTGGGAGAATATTATGGAGCAAAAAGTCCGCTACACCACCCTAACGCATGTTAGCGAAAATCAAATCCCTCAGAATTTTTGTTGCTCAGTCATTCCTACAACGTCGAGCACGCGATAAAAACAACATTTAAAAATGTTTGACCATTTTCTGCCGCAAAACCCCTCAGAAATTAGAGAATGCCTGTGATCGATGTTTATAAACTAGTACACAACTAATGTTACTTACCTTAAGGTCACCCGATATGTTAGCACCGGCCTGTATCCCGGTAACTGACGGGAAGAATATTGCAAAGACGGTGAAGAAGTCTTGATGCAAATTCTCACTGTACCGAAAGTCCGGACCAAAGTTAGACTTGAATGTTGATACTGCGGTCAAGATCATGGTATTAGCTCGATATGGAATAACATCTTAGTCCTATGTTAAGTTAAGTGTGCCCGTGGCTCAGTCATTACTTATAAGAATAAAATTTTTTACATAGCCTATGTCCATCATTATGAGCGAAGGTATCTCCGTGCGAAAGATTAATAATGTTGGTTTAACAGTTTAGCCGTAATAGATACCAAAAATAGAGAAAAAAACATTTTCATTATATGCGTGGTAGAGACATGCTACAGCTATTTAATTGGGAATGGGTCAGTTGGACCGGGGAAAGAGCGTGCTTTCACGGAATATCAGCGTGAATTAGCAGTTCATTGCTGCTGTGTTTCGTATAGTGAGTGTGAAAAACCGGACACCCTTTCTACTGGAAACAAGACATTCCATCTTAGACCTCAGACATGACAACGCATCTACATTTTTATTCTTTACCAAGGATAGATAGATGCAGATATCTATGGGCCACACTTACCATTATGTGAACTGTGTACTCGTTTGTCATCCTTATTTTAATAAAAGAATATTATCATCATAAATATAAGTATTTTATCGGAGACCAACGGCCCGCCCTGGTTTTGCCCGGGAGGATCTATTTATAAAGAGTTATTTAGATTTAAGATAACCATTTGTTTTATCAACATTTCGTTGTTTTTTAAATACGTTTTCAAGTTTTCTACCAAAGTATGGATCGGGCCTAGTTCACTCCAAGCATTGCTTCCTATCTGTCGTGAAATTTCATTACAAACGGTTCAACCATTCCGAAAATACACACAGACAGATACACACAGACAGACAGACAGACGGACTGAGACGTATATAAAAATGATATACTTACCACTGAAACCAATAAAGCCTTTACTAATTTCCTCCAAACTCTTTGGTCCCATGAATGTGCCGATAATAAAGTCCCCCATAGCAATAACAATGATCGCAATTAGAAAATTCTGTAACAAAAAAATTATTATTATGCAAAAAAAATTTATGTGGTTCATCCCTTATTTGCACCAAGCTAGCTATCCACCTGATGGTAAGTTGATACTGTAGCGCAGTATCAAAAATGGACACCGGCAAGCCGGCAACCCAGTACAAACAGAAACACTAACTACTAAGATTCGGTTGACACTAGACATGGGACGAGTACTCGGTTTGGAACTTAATTATATTCCAGAGAAGAATAAAGTCAAAAAGCCAGTTCTTATCATTATTATTATTATATTACACACATAAAAAATTAGGAACATGAGAACAGCAAAAATATTAAGAACGTACATAAGATTCTATAATAGAAATAATTATTACTATTGAATAAAACTATTATTTACGGATCTTATCGCGTTTAATTCAACTTTAATTTATTTTTATTATCCCGACGTTGGTCGGTCGGTGTTCTTTTGCGAGGATTTGTTGTTTATCAAAGTTAATGTAATGGTGCGGACGACCTTGAACATGTTCGCAGACTTCAGACTTCCCTGCGAACATGTTCAAGATCGTCCCCACCATTACATTAGATTTGATAAACCACAAATCCTCGCAAAAGAACACCGATTCCTACCAAGGATGATACGCGAAGCTATTGAAATTAAAAAACATCCAAATTTCAATAGAGAAGATGGATGGGTGCTGCCAGCTGCTTGGGATCCTATAATTCACAAAATTATACCCAAACCCAAGCACACCACTGCAAGACTTCATGATACTATAAGCTCAATTAAATAAAAACGTAAATCGTACCAAAAATTAATATTCAAAAACTGAAGGTAGCCGGACTAACTATGACATTGGGACGGCAAACATCTCAGTCCCCCCCCCCCGTGACCACGGGTGCTGTAAAGCACCCGAAACGTCGGGATAATAAAAATAAATTAAAGTTGAATTAAACGCCATAAAATCCATAAAAATAGTTTTATTCAATGTGTAGTGTTCGCGTAAATTTAAGAAATCATTATAATTATTACTATATTTAAAATTTAAGAGAGGGAGATTGTGATGCAAAAACACTAGTTTTTCGGCCCCATTTAGGTCTAGTTTGTTGCTTTTTGCTTCATATACTAAACCCGCCTCTGAAAACAGCCGTTTACTGTAAATTGAACTGGGGGGTGTCGATAAGTATTGAGCCGGAACTTTTCCCAAGATGGTCTTTATTAGAAACCCACAATTTATATGGATTTGAATCTCTTGCGGCCCTTAGTACGCTTAAGTAATGATCTAACTCTGCTGCAGCGGAATTCTAAGGATCATTAGGTTGGTAACTAGTTGATGCGTCAGTAGCTTTTTTAAAACATTCCCAGAATAGAACTTCAAAAGCAGTATGGTCTCTATCTATCATTCTAGCTCTTTTCCTGCTGGCTCTGCGTCATTTTCAAGCTCATCATCTCATCATCTAGCGATATATTTAGAGCTTCTCTTAGGGCAGCCTTGAGAGCTTGATTCGCTTTTTTAGTATTATAAAAGTTAGTTTGTGTAGGGATGAAACGATACTCTCTAGGTATCGATACTTTTATTCTATACTATACCGTATCCGTACCGTGAGAAGTGTTAGTTAATGAGGTATTCATTATATATACTATAAAATAAGGTCATTTTTTATGAGTTTCTCCTAAGATCAATACTGTTCCTAGATGTTTTCTGATAAAACGATTTCTATAAGCAGTCACTTTCGCGCCAGATAACGAAAATAATCTCTCAAACATGAGTTATTTGATAAGTAATCAAATCACTCATCAACGGTGTCCGTGAGTGTGTGACTAATCGAGTACCGATACAAGTACTTTTCTTTCGATACTACTTGGTACTCAGTTTTAAAGTATCGATACATACCAATAGTACTTGTTATCGAAAGAAAAGTATCGAGTGTGAGTGAGTTAACTCTGGGCACAATCTAGGCCGAGTATTCGTTGACCGAGTACTCGGCGAATCACTACTCGTTCCATGTCTAGTTGAAACTGTATAGTCAACCGAAATACGTCTTAGAGTTGTCAAAATAAAAATTTCCTTGGAACTTGTATGAGGATATAGTGTAATAACCTATTTATTTATACGATAAGGGTGATAAACGAGTACACAGTCCACATGATGATAAGTGGTCCTGAGGACTAAGATGGAATGCCTCGTTTCCAGTAAAAAAGGGTCTCCGGATCTCTACACTCACCATAGGAAACACAGCAGTATTACGCTGCTATTTTACGCTGGTATTCTGTGAGAGCGTGGTCCTTCCCCGGTCGAGCCGACGCATTCGTGCTACAACCATAATATACTCATAGCTGCAGCGTGGCTCTACCACTTCTCTATTTTTTTTTTTTATAGGATAGGGTGATCTCTATCTTCTGTTCTCGTCCTACACCGTAGAAGACACATTCTATTTTTTTACGCTGGTATTCTAAGCAAGCGTGATCCTCTTAACGTACCAGCGGACCAATTTGTAATGCAGCTGTAATACGCTGCTCCAGTTCCAGACGACGAATTCATAATGCAGCCAATTCGTAATATTCCGCAGCCTAGTTGTCTCACATCAAAAAATCGTTTGTGCAACAACCTACATAATATAACAATATATATTCAGAGTATTTAAACAACTTGCAACTCGTTAGAACAAAATCTACATCAACCACGCGATCTTCTCGTGTCCTTAACGAATTAATTGATCCAATAGACGCTGAACAATTGATGTAATAAAAGGCACACACGTTTAATTTGCACGGAATTAAAAAGTTTCCGATAAATTCTGCAAATAACTTTGAGTTCCAACTTATTAAAATGTGTTAATATTTTTTTAAATTAAATTGAAGTGATTTTGAGATTGAACTTGCAGTCCTACTAATGGTAAGTGTCATAAGTAACTACTTTAGATCACTGCAGCCAATGTACACGTGCAAGCAAATAAAGAAGATTAGAGATGCGTTGTCACCTCTAACTCACTGAGGACTGACATTGAATACCTCATAGCATGTAATTATACTAGCTCTCGTTTTAGATCACAACTTACCAATGCTTGCACTACCCGAGCGAACTCCTTGTAAAGTTACAGCTTATGTACGTCCCACTGCTGGGCACAGGCCTCCACTCATTTCTGAAAGGGTTTCAGGACAAGGAAGTGTCCGCTGCGCTGCCCCAATGCGTGTTGGCGAACTTCACATGTTTTCGTAATTTTTTTTCTTATTCCTCAGACATGCAGGTTTCCTCACGATGTTTTCCTTCACCGCCGAGCACGTGGTAAATCAGCACTTAAAATTGCAATTAAACAATTTCATTGGTGCCGGCGGGGATCGAACCCGGGTTACTCGCGTTCTGTTATATTTACAGCCAGCGTTAACCATCTGAGCTACCACGGCTCTGCGAACTCCTTGGTAGAAAATGAATTCCACCACCTACTGCTTTGTGAACAAAAACTACACAATAATATGGGGGAATGCTACTAGTAAAGCCATAATAACACTATTATGGGTCGCCTCAATAGAAAAAATACCACGTTTCAACGAAATATCAGCGTAAAAGAACAACATATAATGCTGATGTACTTCGTAAGGTTAATGAGACAAATAGACCCTTTTAGTGGTACCGAAGCATTTCAATTCTAAATCGACAAAGATATACACGTAAATGTCACAGAATCTAAGTATCGATAGGTGATCTATGTGATCGTTTGTCACCCATTTTATAAATAAGATTTTGTTTATAGGAGTGTGACAAACGAGCACACTGTCCCACTGACGGTAAGTGGTTGCTGAACGCACACGCGTCATTGGAGCAATTCGGCCGGTCTTCGAAGCCTGGATGCAGCGACGAGTAGGAAGACTCACCTACAGACTTACACAGATAATTACCGGGCACGGGTGCTTCGGTGATTACCTGTGTAAGATCGGACGCGAGGCAACGGCGAACTGCTTGCTGCTTGCTACCCATAGATATCTACATCTATCGTCGATTACGAATCAAAATAATTGCATTTTATGTCTATGCGTTGTTACACACGAGGACTAGCATGGAATGCCTCAGTTCCAGTAAATAGGGTCTCTAGTTCTCAGCACTCACCGTACTAACACAGCAGCAGTAAGCTATATTACACTGGTTTTGTGTGAGAGCGTGGTCCTACCACCATCGCGCCAACCTTACCACTAATATATCTGCAGCATGGCTCTACCACTACTGCTTTCAATAAGAAATGTATTTGAACGTTGTCACGTTTTTTATAAAGTATTTCATATTTTGTAGATTTAAAAAAGCGGCCAAGAGCGTGTCGGGCCACGCTCAGTGTAGGGTTCCGTAGTTTCCCGTCCGTCACAGTAAGTGTTCCCGCTTATGAGTTTGTACAAAAACTGTTGTTTCCATCCAAGTTCAAAATAATTTTCCTAGAAAGTCCTTATAAAGTTCTACTTTCCAGATTTTTTTCATATTTTCTAAACTTATGGTTCAAAAGTTAGAGGGGGGGGGGGACACATTGTTTTTTCCTTTAGGAGCGATTATTTCCGAAATTATTGACATTATCAAAAATGATTTTAGTAAACCCCTATTCATTTTTAAATACCTTTCCAACAATATATCACACGTTAGGGTTGAAATTAAAAAAAAAATCACTTCCCACTTTACATATAGGGGGGCTACCCTAATAAAACATTTTTTTCCAATTTTTATTTTACCACTTTGTCGGCGTGATTGATACACATATTGGTACCAAATTTCAGCTTTCTAGTGCTAACGGTCACAGAGATTAAGCGAGGACGGACAGACGGACAGACAGACATGGCGAAACTATAAGGGTTCCTAGTTGACTACGGAACCCTAAAAAAGGTTCCATTAAAATTTTGTAAATTACTTCATGACTTCTTATTTTCCAATCTAAACTTTGGCGAAGTTGCGCTTAATGAACTCTGTAATTTGTAAAGCTTTAACTCTAACATCGCAACAAACACAATTACGGTAATAAACCTACCGGCACGTGACACTTTCAATCTTCCGCCACGTTCCCTGAAGTAAATTGAGTGTTTACTATGCTTCGGAAAACTTCCATTACAGGTTCTTCTACTTATCAAGTTTATTATCAATAGTGTTTGATTGATGCATCATATTACGTACAGGATAATCAAGAATATTAGTTCATATAAGACTGTATCCTTCATCATTTGGCGCCAGTAATTAAGCTTTCGGATTGCAAACTCACAAAAACGTGATATTGAATCCGTCATTTGATTACTGTCATGAGCCAGTCGTAGCACAAGGGTTTTTTAAGCAGACCTGGATTGGTTAACGGGATCATTTCTTGTTCCCAAAAACACGTATTAGATAGTTACTCTGAGTGATATAATTTGTACAGTAAAGCCAGAATAACCAACCTAGCCCAACGGATTTGTAAGCTGAAGTAGCAATAAGAGGCCATATGGCTCAAAGAACCGTTAGCCACTGGAAAGACAGGTTCTCGAGTGGAAAAGAAAGGCAACCTTGTACTGATAAGGGAAGTGTAGCATAGCCTCTCACTTGATGAATTTACGAACTGGTAAGATATGTAGGAAAGAAAGGTGATATTGACACATCAAAACCCAATATCTTTCTTGTCCTTCATTCTCTTCCTTGATAAAGTTAAGGGAATTACTAAATAATGATAACACTTTCAAATTACTTTTGAAAATTCCGTTGACCTCATACATGCAGAGTCTACATTTTGATTTTTAACCAAAGGTAGGCGTGGATATGATCCACATCATCTACCTTTCATAAGATATACGAGAAATAGCGGTACCTATATGTTATATTCTTAATGTTAGCTTTTTGTTGTTGTAAGATTCAACTTCATGTTCTTTATAAGACTCTTTTAAATTATAACAAAGCATCCCTTTTTAATTTTAAGCCGTGACAATTTATATTTCGCTATATGCTCTATTTTGATTCATATTCGAAGTTAAAATGACTTGTATAATTTATTGGAGCTGTGGTAGCTCAGATGGTTAGCGCTCGCTGTAAATTTCACAGTACGCTAGCAAACAGAGTTCGATCCCCGCCGTCACCAATGAAAATGTTAATTGACGCTCACCACAAAACATCGTGGGAAAACCGGCATGACTGAGAAATAAGAAAAAAAAATATTTCGAAGACATGCGAAGTTTGTCAACACGCATTAGGCGCAGCGCGGCGGACACTTCCTTGCCCTAAAACCCTCTAAGAAATAAGGGGAAGCCTGTGCCCAGCTGTGGGACGTATATAAACTGTAACTTTTAAATTTTATAGTAGTTGGTAATTTATTAAAGATCTTTAATTTTTCAGTACCTGTGCTTTGCTCTCCCAGTCCATTCCGACGGCGCAAATGATGCACATGACGATCAGAGCGATCGTGCCAACTATCCTAGTATCATTAGGACCATTATCAAAGATCTTCACTCCCTGTGTGCCCAACAAATCATTAAGAGAATCACAAAACCCGATTGTATTCATACTAGCCGCTACCGCGTTGGCGAAAGCGAAGATAATGCCAACTGACGCTCCAAATTCTGGGCCGAGGGATCTGGAAATTATGTAGTAGATTCCACCTAGAACAAAAATTATGATTAGAACAATTTCGTTCGGAAAGTATTAGTTACATAGTTTTACGTGGTAGTGTCATGCTGCAGCTATATAAGTACGCATGCTACTTATGCGTACGAATGGGTCGGCCCGACCGGGACAGGATGACGCTCTCACAGAATACGCTGGTAACGGAATGGAATAAGGAAATAGCAGCTTTAAAGTGTGTATTTCATATGATAAGTGTGGAGAACTGGAGATCCTTTTAACTGGAAATGAGGTAATCCATCTTAGATCTCAAGGGTGACAACGCATCTGTCTTTTGAATCATAATCGAGAATAGATATAGAACATGGGCCACTGCATCCACTTCACATCAGGTGGATTGTGTGTGCGTTCATCATCCTTATTATATAATAAGATCGTGATGTTGAGTATCTTGAAACTAACCAGCACCTTGTCTCATATTTTGTCGTAAATGTTGAGCTATTCATAATAATGGAACAAATACATAGACCTTTAGCTGAAAGAAAGAAAGAAATATTTTTGCCGCCAAACGTTTACGTTCACGACATATCAAACAAAGTTAAAACCATGAAAACGGGTATGAATTAATTTGATTTAGTAGTTAGTAGTAGCAGTTTAGTTTGTTAGGAGGTTCAACGGCCTAAGAACGGTTTAAAAACACAACGCCCTTAATGTTACGTGATTGCAATTTATCATATTTATTGTTTAAGCAAGTGTATTACCTCGATTTAATTCATAACAATTCGTATAAAACTATATTGCAAAGTACAAGCACAACTCTCAAGTCTCAGTGTCCGCCACAAATACCTACAATAATCTAATATATTATGTACAAAAATTAATTTTTGTTTGTTCGTATTTTATGCGCTGCGATACAGATTGCAGTAAAACTTTTTTCAACATATTGCTTGCACTACCGCGAAGGCTATAAGCATAGTTGGATCCGGTAGATGGCGCTGTTGTAGTATCCAGATATCACCTAACTTATGAACGTAGGTCTCATACCACAAACATAATAAGGGGAGAGGTTAAAAAAATATTTTTTTAATAGGATAGGGTGACAAACAAGCACACAGTCCACCCGATAGTAAGTGGTTGCTGTGGCCCATAGACATCTACATCTATCCTCGATTACGAATCAAAATACAGATGCGTTGTCACCCGTGAGGAGTAAGATGGAATGCCTCGTTTTCAGTAAAAAGGGTCTCCGGTTCTCTACACTCGCCATACGAAATACAGCAGCATTAAGTACAGTATTAAGTAAGTACTATTTTACGCTGGTATTCTGTGAGAGCGTGGTCCTTCCCCGGTCGAGCCGACCTATTTGTGCTACAACTATACTACTAATATAACAGCAGCATGGCTCTACAACGTATCACTTTTATTTATGATACAACTATACTAATAATATAACTGCAGCATGACTACCACGTTTATTATATGTGGTAGGATAGGACCACGTAGGATAGGTACTTTAATCCATTTCTGTTGCCAAATAGCGTATACATAGGTATGGATGGCCAGAATAGTTACAGACTGTTAGGCATTCCATCTTAGTCCCCATGGGTGACAACGCATCTGTAAACTTCTTTGTATGAAGTAGACTGCAGCTGTTCATTAGCTTTCTTTTTATACAATAGGGATGACAAACGAGCACACAGTCCACCCGATGGTAAGTGGTTGCTGCGGCCCATAGACATCTACATTTATCCTAGATTAAGAATCAAAATGCAGATGCGTTGTCATCTCTAAGGACTAAGATGGAATGCCTCGATTCCAGTAAAATGGGTCTCCAGTTTTTCACACTCACCATACGAAACACAGCAGCATCAAGCTACTATTTTACGCTGATATTCTGTGAGAGCTTGGTCCTACCCTGGTCGAGCCGACCCATTCATGTTACAATCATGATATAGCTGCAGCGTGGCTCTACCACGTATATAATTACTGCAGTAGCCACTTACCATCAGGTGGACTGTAGGTTCGTTGTCACTTCGTTATGTTTTATTTGTTAGTTGCTAAGTCATATGTAAGATATTTCTAATTCCAATATTACACTAGTTGTCATATACTTCCTGTAAAACAACCCTACACTCATCTCGCTCGGTCGGCGGATTTGTCAACCTTTTACAAACACACCCTAGTATTATCATTATTTTAGAATAATTTTCCGCTATTATTCGGTCGAGAGAGCCTCGTCAGTCAGCAGGGGGCACCGCGTGCAAATGAGATAGATAATTGAGTACATAGAGTTGATATTACTATCCCTAAATGGCTTTATTACTTAATTTGAATTTGCTACTTTTAGTGATGTAAAATTAGAATTTGAACATAAATTTATAATGTCATTATACTATTTATTCATAAAATTTCTATAAATATGTTTGTTTTTTTTGCAAATCTTAAAAAGTTTCTCAATTGAATAAATTATCAAGTAGGTAACCAATCGTAGAAATATTCAACGTTCGCGTTTCTTACTGTAATTCAAAGATTTAATGTAGAAAAAAGAACATACCTCCTTTTACCTCCCCATTGGTACAGATGGCGCTCATGGACAACGTGGTGATGACGCAAACAATGGCGGAAATCGCGATAATGATCAGCGTGAGTCCTATCCCCGCCTGCGACACTACCCACGAAATCCGCAGGAACAGCATCACGCCCCATATATTCAGCAGACATGGTATTAGTACACCCTAGGAAGTAAATTTCAAATTATTATATATTTTTAGCCGATCTAAAAAAGAGGAGAATTTTAAGTTCTCGACTCTATGTTACTTATATGTATGTATGTTATGTTACGTGCGTTATATCTACGCCTGGTACTGGTATTGTCGTTTTTTTAAGTGTACTTTAAGGCCCGCCATACGAAATTTCGTTTCGGAACGCAGTAAGTCCATATAAAAGTAATGATCCGTCACACACCTATGGTAGTATTCCGTTCGAAAATTTGCGGGCGAAACGGGACTCCGTATGTATATAGCCGACTCATTCGTTGAGTTTTGGAATTCCGAAACGGAATTCCATATGTAGTGTGTGGCGAGCCTAAAATCGTTGTGATTTAAAAGTCGATGAAACGAAAAAGCAATTGTTAACACAAAAAAAGAATTTCAACGTAAATAATATGTACTGACGACACAATTTATTTATTCAATTAATATTTGTACAGATCACTTAATATTACAGTTTTTTGTATTCACGATACTTAATTACACTGAGACTAACTCGACGCGTGTTATCAGAACAGAACCTCTTATAATCGCGATGCACCCTATTTTATAACTTTTCCTTTCCCACTTCTCTTAGGTTGCGCACGAAGAGGGGCGGACCGGTGTTGCCAGTAATAAAATTGCAAACACTGCCATCCTGCGTGGTTCCTGTCCCAGGAGCCTCACGAGTCTATTTAAAATACTGAAATGACACAAATTGATTAGAAACTGTTTCTGATAAATAAATATTATAAAGCGGTGCATAGCAATGGCCATTTTTTGTTCATGACGTAAGGTAATAGTCAAAGTTTACAATCAAGTTACACTTTTTTTTTTACATAAACTCGAGAACAACTTTAAGACCACCTGCACTTAAAGGAGCTTGTCACACTTAAGAGACCAGGTTCGTCGGCTGCAGGAATCACTTGCATTTAAAAGACATGTAGTCTCACTTAAATGTACCAAGTTCATTCCAGTTGAGTTTGCTGGAATCACTCGCATTTAAAGGACATTTAGTCTCACTTAAATGTACCAAGTTCATTCCTGTTGTCTGCCGGAATCCCTTGCATTTAAAGGACATTTAGTCTCACTTAAATGTACCAAGTTCATTCCAGTTGAGTCTGCTGGAATCACTTGCATTTAAAGGAAATTTAGTCTCACTTAAATGTACCAAGTTCACTCCTGTTGTCTGCCGGAATCACTTGCATTTAAAGGACATTTAGTCTCACTTAAATGTACCAAGTTCATTCCAGTTGAGTCTGCTGGAATCACTTGCATTTAAAGGACATTTAGTCTCACTTAAACGTACCAAGTTCATTCCACTAGCGTTTTTTAAGGCATTTCATCTTGCTTAAACGTACTAAGAAAATTTAAATTATAGTTATCTCGGTTATGTTTAACACTCCGTGTGTAACCCATGTTGTATTGATTCGTGCACTCAATACAAGGATTTTGTGAAAGCATCTACGGTAGTTAATAAATATTTATTTTTATTACAAGTTTTTACAAATGGATCTAAATGGTCTAAGTACAGTATGAAATGGTTGTGCATACTTCGGCAACGGGTATAACTCCCCTTCCTTGGGACCACCTTTTTTTTTATAATATATACAACTGATACAATTTTTTTATATACTTTCTTACGTTTTGTCGCAGACGTGAAAACCAGTATACATATTTTATACGTTCAATTGTTTTATCGAGAGCAAAATGACCTACATCATCGTGATTGCATTTAATGATTTGCCATATACACCTTTTCGGTACTACCCAACGTTGATCTTGGCGTGTCCTTCTGTATACTTTACCATCTAAAAGTTCATAGTTTTTGAAAATATTCTTATTTGTTTCGGTCTGTCCTGTCTCTAAAATTTCTTTAATATGCTGTATTTCTAAATCTTGCAACTGTACTGTAAGTAACCTGTCCGCTTCCGTTATAGACAATATAATTTTACTTTCTGATTTTTTACCCGAAGCGTCAGGATTTCGGCTTAATGCATCCACATGTTGCATACGTGGGCCTTCCCTATGAACAACCTCAAATACAAAATTCTTGTGTAGACAGAACCCATCGTGCAATACGAGGAACATTTAACATATCATATCTTTCTTGTTACGGATTGTGAACACTGCTGCGTAAACCCCTCTAACAAAATAGGTGAGTCTATATATAGTCGAATATAGTGTCTAAAGATTTTTGTTTGATTAATTCCTTCGATATTAATGAACAACTACTTCCGGTGTCAATATCATTGTGATAAAAATGATGTATATATACCCTCTTTATAATTTATAATTTTTTTTTGGTGTATCTATAATCGAAATTAATTTCACTTCTTGTCTTTCAGGTTTAAGCAAATTTTTCTTAATGGTAGCATACAGATTCTAAATGACCCTGTCTGCTGCAATAATCGCATATGTTAACGTTACATTGACTTCTTTTGTGGTTGCCACCACACACAAAACATTGTATAGTCCCGAATCTTGAATTTGGTTGTCAGGCCGGTCTAATGCTAATGCTACCGGTGCTGTCGACGTAGTTGGAATTTTTTGGACTAATGATTTTTGAGAGGTCTCTCGCACAAACGTTCCGATCTACTTTAAAACCTTCGCTTTATAATTACGGCCATGCAAGATACTAGCCAAACTATCGCAAGTAGGAAAATTACTGGATTCAATCAAAGCTCCTATACTACTGTCACCTATATTTCGGATAATAATTGAAATAATATCCTGTTCGCTAAAATTTAAGCATAAAGGATATATTATACATTTCTGTTTAAAATAAAATTCGTATAAGGACTGGTTACCTACTGGTTTACTATTAATTATCTCCTTAAGAAGGTTAAACATACTACGTATTTTAAAACTAGCGGACAATTTTCGTTCCCAGTCAATCCACTTCCAGGTGGGCCAATCACTATCAGTGCTTATTAAAGAGTCATACCAGACTTTAGCCGATCCCTTAAGTTTATTCAGAGTTTGATAACGTATAATTTCGTCGGAACAAGTAAAAGTATTTGCATAAGATTGAATAACGCCGAGCCAAGAGGTTATGTTATCAACCAATGGATGGAATTCAGGAATAATGTTCAATATAAAAGCATAGTTCGTACTTACAGTTGCAACTGCATTTCTATGGGATACCTTTCTCTTTGGTCGAGGTGGTGGAGTCCGCGCACTGCTTCTGCTACTTGATGTAGAAGTACCCGCGCTGGTTGATCTTGAGGCACGTGTTCGCGTACGCTTTGAATTTTTAGTACTTTTACTGCGTTTACCCATTGTGAACTATAGTTATGATCCCACTTCTGATGTTAACACAAAGAAAGTATTTCAACGTAAATAATATGTACTGACGACACAATCTATTTATTCAATTAATATTTGTACAGATCACTTAATATTACAGTTTTTTGTATTCACGACACTTAATTACACTGAGACTAACTCGACGCGTGTTATCAGAACAGAACCTCTTATAATCGCGATGCACCCTATTTTATAACATTTCCCTTCCCACTTCTCTTAGGTTGCGCATGAAGAGGGGCGGACCGGTGTTGCCAGTAATAAAATTGCCAACACAATACTAAAAAAAAAGAAAGAATACCATAAACAGTGTTAATTACTTATAAGTTTATTTATATTTTAATTACCTAAGCCCTACAATTAGGTCCGCCCCAAACTACATACGGAATCCCGATGCGGAACGAACGCGTCGCCCACACACATACGGTATCCCGTTTTGCCCGCAAAATTCCGTACGCAAAACTACTGTAGGTGTGTGACGGGGAATTCCGAAACGGAATCCCGAAACGAATTCCGCATGTATGTGGCCGGCCTTATACACTACTGCATTCGTCTTATTCTCTCGAAGTTTTCTGAAGGTTTCACTTCTACCACGTGTTACCTGATCACCTTTTATTTTTTATAAAGATTATACTAAATGGCTAATTTGAAGCAAATTCCACCTCTAAGGCGAGGAAAACATCAAATAAAGTTAATTATTATTGGTTTAAGTTTTTAATGTAACTATAATATATTGAGACGACATTCTATCTACCTTGGTAACGAGCTTGTAGTATTTATTCCTTAGTCAACTCTGAAGGGTCAAAAAACAAACTTTTAACAACAAGTGGTAAAATTGAAAAATGTTGTACAACCTGCTTCAGTATAAATAAAATGAGAACATTATCAATGTAGTCGAAGTCAATTAAATACGAATTATTAAGGATAACTCAAAAGCTTAGTTAGATCTTGATCAAATTTATATGGGACACAAATAAAAATACGATCTAATTCAGAACCTGCTCGGCTTTTAAAATCGGTTGAAAAGTAAAGATTTCAAAGAACTATAGAGAATAAAAATATTTCCACACAACGCATTCGGAATTCGGGGCTTTAATCATGTTATACACTATGCCTCGTTGATGTGGTGGTCACAATCGCGATGCTGGTCATGAGAGGAGTCAAAACGTTGGCTGTGTTTCACCCCCGTGTCTTGGAAATCGCGTTATTTCTTGGTACGTAAAGCACGTTGGCCCCGCACCTGATTTCTCTCCGGTTATGTCGGATTACCATAGCATCCGACTATGAAAGTAAGGGAATAAAGAGTGCACCCGCGCTTGCACACACATTCGGACACTAATGCTGTCCTGCAACTGTAAGAGTAGTCTCCGTGACCGAAATTCGGTCTGGATTACATTAGTCATAGTTGCCGAGATTGGCGTGCGGGTCGGCAACTGCAGGTTATTATTTAGTGTATACCCAGATCTGGATATTTATACTTGTGCAACTTATATACTTAGGCTTATGTGGTATATGTAAAACGCCTACACGATACAAAAGAAAACCTCGCTGTGGGTGTGTCTGTGTGAGTGTGCAAACTTTCCTCGGTTCAGCATTTTAATCTTGCCGATTACTCAATGATTCGTCGTATTCTATTTTTTTTATATTTATTAAATTTAGTACTTGCATTTCTTGACTCTGTTTTGCTAACTATATTTTAGAGAAAAACCCCGTGAAATGTAGCCTGATATAAAATACAAAATTATGTGATATTATACTTGCTTACCAAGACTACTTTACCAGAGAGGCAGTAAAAAAATCTAGAGAAGTAATACCTGAATCCATCCTAGTTTAATTCCTGTCACTGGAGTTGGTGATTTTGTATCTCTTTGATTTATTCGCGGCTCCTCCTGAAACAAGCATATCAATTAGAATTATTCAAAAACAAAACAAAGAATAGATTGTTCAAATGGAGATTTGAACAGAACAGTCAGTATGGATAACGAATGGGATTACAAATGGCAACTCATTGAACCGGTACCGTCAACATTCACAGTACTAACAGTGAAAACCCGCCAATATATCGTTATACTAATTAATTGTTATGTTATATTAATTGGAAATTTTGTATTGATGTGAAAATATTTGAAAATAATAATATACGCTAGTAGGTACAATAATTTTAAAATAACATTTATAACTAGCCACTCACTTCGGCTTCGCATGTTTGGGATCTATTTTGTACACTTAAGAGTTAAGATAATTATATCTATTTTAATAAAGTGTCTAAGTTTTATTACAAATCATTCCGTAGATTAGCTCGGACAGAGAGATAAAGGAAATTTTTAAATATGGTTATATAATGTCTAATGGCATGTAATTTATACAAAAATATTAACAAGAAAATCAACATTAATTATGAAGAAAATTTTCAGACCGGGTCATAGCTCACAAATTAATGAAACAGAACTGATTTTTTTTGTAGTTTATTGTATTTTGTTAACATTACAAATGGACTAAAGTTACAGAATGAGCGAAAAACGCATATCACAGCGTATTTTTTTGCAGTCTTTACCAGCGGGTGTGTCTGTCAGTACACATACCGAGTCTACGAGTAAGAGGTGAATAGATGCGAGGCCATTTTCAATCCTATTCTTTAACCGCACGGGTAGTTCTTCATCATATTATATCTTGTAAATACAATGCGGTCTCATTAGGCATTTAATATATTTCCTATTTCTAGCTACAATACGAAAGGCTTACATACTAGATATCAGTATATACGCTGCTGAACGCTACGTAGCTAGGTAATTAAGATCTGGCGTAATACATATCGCGGATTAGTGCCAAGAATTCTGGCTGCGTATCCTCGCTAAACGGCTACACTTTTAATCTTTGTGCGACAAAGAAACCAGCCATTTTGTAACCAACAGCGGCAACAAGTCGCGCATATAACTACTGTAGGAACTTTACCGCACGGCACGGTCTGATATTTTCTACAGCTTTGAATATCTGTCTGAGTCGATAACATTTTTCTAGTAGTTTATTTTAATAGAATAAGGGTGTGATGCTGGTGCCCATAGACATCTACATTTATTCTCTATTATGATTCAAAATGCAGATGCGTTGTCACCCTTGAGGTCTAAGATGGAATGCTTCGTTTCCAGTAAATGTAATGTAAATAAAAATCCAGCTATAAGCTGCTATTCTGTGAGAGCGTGGACCCGGTCGAGCGGGCCAATTCGTGCTACATCCATAATATAGCTGCAGTGTGGCTCTACCACGTTGAAATTTTGATGATCGTTGTCACCACGGAGGTATCAAAGTTCTCTTCCAAGAGTAGCACCAAAGAACTATTAGTCTAAGTTAAGAAATAAATCAACTAAAAACTTTTAGTTTAGGTTTACAAACTTTTATATGGTAGAGCCACGCCGCAAATATGACTGCACCAAGAATGGGTCGGTTTGACCGGGATGCACTACGCTCGCAACCTATACTAGCGTCATATATGAGTAGTAACATAATGCTGCTGAGTTTCGTAAGATGATTGACGGCAAGCAGAGATACTTTTACCGGTAACGAGGCATTTAAATTTAGTCTTGGAGTATACGAGTACATAAGCAGGCTATGCTTATGCTTGCAGTATTCTAAGAGTTTAGTACTCAAAAGTGAAAACTGCATTTGCTATTTAATTTATATAAAGGTGTCTTTTACCACAGCAACCGTTTATCATAAGGTGAAGAGTGTGCGCGGCTGACACTCTTGCTTATATATGCAGAGACAAGCTGCAGCTATAATTGTAGCACGAATTGCTCGGCTCGATCGGCGAACGCTTTCACAGAATACCAGCGTAAAATACCAGCATAATGCTGCTGTGTTTTGTATGGTGAGTGTAGAGAACCGGAGACTTTTTTACTGAAAAGAGGCATTCCATCTCAGTTCTCAGTGGTGACTGTGATGTAGTGTTGTTGTAGCCCACACGACATAATTATATCTTAGAGTAAAGTTTACAATAAGGAGTAGTCAAATTGAAGTCCTAGAAAGTACAACACGTCTCCTTCTCATTGATAACTTTCCATTATTACATGGCGATCCAACCAGTATGACATGTGAAAACGCATCTGCATTTTGATATTTAATTGAGGATAAATGTAAATGTCTATAGGTCACAGCACATACCTACCATCAGGTGGACTGTGTGCTCACCCTTCTATCGGATGAAGTGAGGCCTTAGGCTTATAGCTTAAAAACATTCAACAGTCTGTTGGATGTCATGTTTTAATGTGTGAAATTTATGGATGGGAATAAAAAATGTAGTGTTGGACACGAATGCTTCGGATATAATGGACCGCGTAGAGTCAATTCTGAGGCAGCTTCGTGTTAACACCAGACTCTATACTACGTGTTACCTACCTACGGGTTAAATACCTACCACGGGCCACTTGTCGGATTAGTTCAAAATCACTCGATGGCCTTCCACTTACGCCCGCAACTTGAAAAGCCGAGGACCAGGCAGAATAGACTGCTATAGTGACCAGGGCTGCGAAGGCACTAAAGTATGGACGTGACCTTCAGTCATGAAGAATACGACCAAGAAGAAAGATACATGTGTGGTGTAACCGACATAGCCTAACTGATCATTAGGCTAAAGTGAAAATGAGCTGCTCATATAGCTTGAAGAAGCGGCAATCAGTCAGGAAGAAAGGGCGCCGGGAGGCTCTCTACTAGAGTTTCCACCTGGTAAGACATGCAGGAAGTCGATGGATGCGGGTGGCTCAGACCGTATTTTGAGAAATTCTTCGGGGAGGCCTATGTTCAGCATTGCACTGTTCTAATGATGACGATGAAGATGATGAAAAAAGGTGTGATTTTTAGTTTTTATTTGTAACTCTAATTTCCTGGAAGCTAAATGTTATTTACCGTACCGTATGATTCCATGGGTGTCATAAGTGGGGGGGGGGGGGGCAGAGGGAAGCAGACAGAGGGGACACATCAGGAGATGGGCAGCAGCGTCTTCCTAATAACGGATAAAAATAAAAATAAACTGTGGTTGCCAACCCGCTTGCCAAGCGTGGCAACTGTGGCAAATATTCTCCTTTGAGACAATCACAGGGAGAGGCCTATCTTCAGCAGTGGACTTGAAATAGGCTGTAGTGGTAAATGTTATTTTATTTACCTTTTTAGACACAAAAATCTCAGGTCTTATCTTCCTCTAGCTGAGATTTTATAATATATGCATGAGTCCTGCCAGTACTCATATATGGTGCCGAAACGTGGACACTAACAGTACAACAAACAAAGTCCCCGAGCGGGCGATGGAAAGATCTATGCACGTAGTTTCTCTGGTGGATAAGATTCGTAACGAAGAAATCCGCCGGGGGACCAAGGTTACCAACGTAGCCTTCCGTATTTGTGATACTTGATACCAGATGGCGCTAGTACCATCAACTGTGGCCCCTAGGTAAGCCAAACATAATAAATTGTCGATATAAAATAGTAGTGTCACGTAACTAACTTGCGTTCGACTCCTGCGGCCGTGTTCTAGGAAATTTACGTACCCAACAATGAAGTGGCAATGGGCTGGTCACATCTGTCGCAGAAGCGATAACCGTTTGAGTAGGCGTGTTATGTATGCGTGGTACCTAAACGTGTGGGACGCCCCCTGGTTAGATGGAGCGACGATCTGCGCAAGGCGGGCTGTTAGCAACTGCATAGGTGAAGCCGAAGATCGGGCTAAGTGGCGCGCCTCGTGAGTGGGTTATGTCCAGCAGTGGGCTGCCGCAGGCTGATGATGATGGTGATTTATTTATTTGATCTATTTTCGCCAACCTTAAATCGTATTATACATTCTTGTACACACAAAACCATTGCATTCAGATTCAGAAACAACTAGAACTCGTGATCTAACAATAGAGAGCAAGATATTGCCTCGTGTATATATATAATATTGCATATTGAATACCACGTCGCCCATGCGCAGATTTTGATGCAGGGCTGGCGAATCAAAATAATTTATATTTTATAACAAAATCAAATTTCCGATAATTCTGTCGATGCTATGAGTTTCCTCCAACACTCGTAGCATCGATAGCATTTAATACGACTTTTCATTTTAAAATCTTTATTTCTTTCTTTTTTAATCCGGGTAATCATGTGTTACGTTTTTCTTACACATAACGTTACCTTTTTCTTACACTTCTAAACAGTTCTATAGAAATACTTCAATACTTCGATATCATTTTCATTGCAGTCCATCAGAAGAGTACTGCTGAACACAGCCCTCTCCCAATAAATGTCACAAAACATGGTCTTAAACCAATTGAATGAATCGGCTTTCTGCATCACTTACCAGGTTATTATACTCCACTTAGTCGGGGACTATTCTATACCCTATACTTCGACATAAAGTTACAACCCATATGCGTCTCACGGCTGGGCACAGGCCTCCGCTCATTTCTGAGAGGGTTTTATGGCAAGGAATTTTTATGAAGAAAAAAAAAGGAATTGTCCACCGCGCTGCCCCAATGCGTGTTGGCGAACTTCACATATCTTCGAAATATTTTTTTCTTATTTCTCTGACATGCAGGTTTCCTCACGATGTTTTCCTTCACCGCCGAGCACGTGGTAAATCAGCACTTCAAATTGGTGCCGACGGGGATCGAACCCGGTTTGCTCGTGTACTGTGAAATTTACAGCGAGCGCTAACCATCTGAGATACCACGGCTCTTACTTCACACTCATACTTCGACATAACGACTGTTAATTTGGCACATCAAGGAGATTGCCGATCAAATTTCCACAGAATCAAAGGCTTTATCCAGACATGCAAGATAAATCAGTGGATTGTATTCTTTTATTTTTAAACGCCAGCGAGCCTCAAAAATCCTCTATACAGAAATTGCCTCTTTGT